TACATAAATTAGTCACCACTGAACTAATAAAAGTGTAAAAGATGAATAAGATGATAGAAATAATCTGTATTGGAAGATGCTAATGAAAGTAACAGAGGTGAGGTTGGTGAAAAGCATGGTAAAATAGGTTAAGATGACTAAAGCTAAATGTAAGTTTAAAATATAACCAAAGACATGCTGGAAAGGTTAAACAGAAATGTGCTATAAAAGAAATTCAGGAAGCAACATACAGTCCAAAAGCTAACTCCACCTGAGTACAAATAGTGGCCTTTGGGCTGAGGCAACCAGAGGTGGTTTTAAGCGTCTAGTCCTGGTGACTCCCTGGAGCTGGAACTGTGTGACTGTGCTTGGGTGTGTGTGCAATTCCCCCTCCCCCTGCCCCACCCCAGCCTCAGTTCATTGTCCTCTGTGTCACTACTCTAACTCACTGTCTACAAGCTTCAATTCCATTTAACAGAAAAGGTTTGTTTCTGTCACCAGATAATGAGTTCCTTGTGAACCGAGGTGGTCGTATTTATGTGGGTATCCCCAGAGCTTCGGCCAATGGCAGGCACCTAGTAAGCAGTTAGCAGATGTTGGTTGGACACCAGAGTTCTGTGTCATTCGGTTCTTGTCCTTTCTGTGCCAGAGCAAGTTTTCACTTGTTACTGAGAGCTGCTGTCAGTTGTCATATTTAGCCTACTGACTTTTCCTTCGGAACCACCTAGCGCAGGGCTCAGTGGGCACTTGTTCCTGGGGCAAAACCAGCCTTCGTTCATTTCAGATGAAAAAAGAAAACAAACCTCAAGTTGAGTGAGTAATCTAGAACAGAGTTTGGCAAGCATTTTCCATAAAGGGCCAGACAGGAAATACTTTAGGTGTTACATGCCACAGGTCTCTGTCACAACAGCTTAGCTGTGACTTTGTGGGGCAGAAGGAGCCTAGACGATAAGGGACTGTGTGTGTGGCTGTGTTCCGGCAGGGCACTGTTCAGAAGCAGGTGATGAAGCAGATTCGGCCCCAGGGCCAGAGTGGGAATGAAGATCACCACTTGCAGCTAACTTACCTGTGAAACAGGGAACAGGAGCTGTGACAAAGGGGCCTGTTGTTACCCTTATTTATGTTTTCTGTAAGCCTTGGAATAGTGTTTTATGGTAGGAGGTGTTCAGTAAGTATTTATTAATTTGATTTGGGATCCAACTACATCACTTATCCTCCCTGGGCTTTGGCTGTCTCATCTGAAGTTTAAGGGACTACATTATGTGATCTTTAGTGTCTCTCCAGTTTAAAAAAATCTGTGATTCTGTGGCCGTGGGAGGCCCAGTGGTTTATTCTTTAAAGAGAACTGGCTTGTCGCATTTTCTCTGCGCCCTTCGTATCCTGAGGTGGAATTCTGAGATGGTTGCTTTTGGAGTCCTGTATGTGGACCTCTCTGCAGTGAAATTCATTGTCCACCAGGCTATACCTATACTGTCCACCGGTCTCTGGCACCTCATCCTGCCAGTTTGTTAAACCTATTCATTTTTTTTTTTTGTCTAAAAGAGTAAATTAGCCATAAAGATAACCTAGACAACCTCAGGTGATTCTCTGTAGGAAGATGATGATCAAGGTGAAGATCAGTCTGTTTGTCTCTTAGACTTACATTTTCTCTAAAGTCTGTGTCAGGAAAGTATCCCATCATTGCTTTATTAATTGAAACCGTTAAAGATAAATAGTAATCCAAAACAATTGTAAATATTGCAGATGTAAATTTTTATCACCTTACCTAAATTCTAAATTCTTCTTTCACTTAAACTTTTGATAGATTTTTCTGTTTCTAAAGAGTGATTTGTTTAAGATTAGGTAAGCTGTCTGATGGCCTCTTAGACTGTTCTCAGGAATATCAGCTGGTGTGTATTTCTAGTCTACTGAATGGAGAAACTTCAATAAACTGTAAAAAGTTCTTATAAAGAATACAGAAAAATTATCTTTATTTCCTACTATTTAAGTAAGTATAGATGTGTGCCAAAAATGACAAGCAAGATAATATTTTTATGAGTGTAATTTAAAGTAGCTCTTAAACTTTAATAGGCTTAAGAATGACCTTGTGGATCTCATTTTAAAAAGTGAGTTCTGATTTACTCAGTTTAGAGTGGGGCTTTAAAGAATGTTGAGATTATGCCCTGGCTGGTGTGGCTCAGTGGATTAAGTGCTGGCCTGCAAGCCAAAGGGTCGCCGGTTTGATTCCCAGTCAGGGCACATGCCTGGGTTGCAGGCCAGGTCCCCAGTTGGGGGCACATGAAAGGCAACCACACATTGATGTTTCTCTCCCTCTCTCCCTCCCTTCTTCTCTCTCTAAAAATAAAATAAATGTTTTTTTAAAGAATGTTAATATTATGAAGGTAGGCTCTTCAAATTTTATTTTTCTTGAAAAACTAAAAACAAATAGGGTTTTTATTTTAGTGAGAGAGGAAGGCAGTAGGGAGAGAGAGAACATTATAGGAAAAATTAGAAAGGAAAGCACTGGCAGAAAATATTGAGCCTTCACTTTGTGGTGGTCGCTTCACAGACAAGGTGATCATAGGTCCTCATAGACCCTGGGCAGGTGACGGTTTACATCCCTGCTCCGGTGTGTTGCTGCTAATACCTGTTTTCATGGTCAAAAGCTCATCATGTTTCATAGGATTTGACCTATTCTTTCCCAGTAATGGAAATCCCTTTTCTTCCCACTGCATCTACATAACATGGACAGTGAAAGTACCTTAGTATTAACAATCTAGTTTCTTTTGGCGGCAGTTGAATATACAATGTGTGTGTTGTAATAATACAGATCCATTAAGTGCTTTGAATAGAAAATTTGAAATTTGGATTTTTATTTCCATCTTCAAAAATTATTTCACAATTAAAAACAATTCCTAGAATCTCAAGAATCAATTTAAAATATATTCAGAAACACCAGATTTTTTTTTCTTTCATTCAAGAAATAAGTGTCTTAACACTGAGGCAAATGAAACCAAATTAGTGTGGTTTCTTAGGGGAAGAAGAAGGTGTGATTACAGGGTCCGAACTGCTTCATTTTAAGCAGTGGAAGCATTTATTTTATTTTATATATGAAATATATAAAAAGAACTTAAACTAGGAACAATTGGGCTATTAATAAATACCCTGTGTCAGGAAGCTAACGGTAATTGTCCCATATGGCATACGCAGGTAATAGAATTGCTGCATAGGTAACCGCTCCTAAAATATAGAGCTTAGTTAAAATGCTTCTTTACTCTTTTATGTTGCTCATTTACGAATATATTGGCGCATTTGTCCAATCTGTGTCATTTGTATAAAACTTACTGTTATTGGAAACACTTTTATAAGCATAATCATTATTTCAGAAACTTGATTAAGTACTTCTGAAATAAGCAGTCAATTTGGACCTGACCTGAAACCTTTCTATCCAGATATCTCACTGGAGTTCTGGTCAGAGTGTCTTAGGAGCAGATTCCCCTCATTACTCACTTCTTTATTTCATTTGTTCTTTCATAGTCCTGTATTTGAATTATTATCTCTCTTTAGTAGTTGTTTTATTTTCTTCAGTTCAGCCGAAGCCATTAATTTGTGCTTATTGTTGGCCAGCAAGTGTGTGGAAATAAGGAGTTCAGTTCCCCACCCCACCGCCCCATAATCAGTGGAGAATACAGCTGGAGAGCTCGGGGGTTGCTTGTCCATCCTTCCGCCCTCCTCCGATCTCTGGGCCTGCCACCCCTTTGGTGCTGTGCAGCCAGAACACACAGCCAGAGTTCTTCTTGATGTGACCTGTGCCTGGCTGTTGGGTGCTCAGCACCAGCATCCATGTAGTCACCTAAGCCTCCGGGCTGTTTTTGAGTATTTCACCTTTACTTTTTTTTTTTTTAAACCCTCTCCTGTCAGTCACTAAACACACCAGGAAGTGTGTGTTAGGAAAGATTAATATCTGTCTTCTTCTTCCCATCCTAATTGCCTTTTCCCACATTACTTTAAGTATACTGTTCAGTTTTTCAGTCATTCTCTCTCAGCTTAGCAATTTAAATAGCCCATTGACTTGTACTGTGTTCTCAAGTCCATTCTTTTTAAAAAATATTTTATTTATTTATTTTTAGAGAGAGGGGAAGGGAAGGAGAAAGAGAGGGAGAAAAACATCAGTGTATGGTTGCCTCTCATGTGTCCCCTACTGGGGACCTGGCCTGCAACCCAGGCATGTGCCCTGACTGGGAATCGAACTGGCAACCCTTTGCTTCACAGGCCCGTGCTCAATCCACTGAGCTACACCAGCCAGGGCTCAAGTCCATTCTTTACCTAATTAATCAAGTGGTCTGGCCTTATTCCTGTTCAGATCTTTTCTACAGAGTTTGATTATTAACTTCAGTATTTCTTTGTTGAATTTTTTTTATTCTCACTGGAGGACATGCTTACTGATTTCATTTTAAGAGATTACTATTGTCATTACTATTCATTACTATTTTAAGAGATTTTATTTATTTTTAGAGAGAAGAGAAGGGAGGGAGAAAGAGAGGGAGAGAAACATCTGTGTGTGAGAGAAACCTTTGTTGGTTGGTTGCCCAGAACTGGGTACCTGTGCTGCAGCCCATGCGTGAGCTGTGATTGGGATTCAAACCAGAAACCTCTTGGTTTGCGGGATGACGCCTAGCCCACTGAGCCATACCAGTCTGGGCCATGCTTATTGATTTTAGAGAGAGGGAAAGAGGGAGGGCGGGGGAGAGAAACATCAGTCTGTTGCCTCTTGTATGTACCCCCATCGACCAGGGGCCAAACTTGCCACCTATGTATGTGCCCTGACTAGGAATCGAACCTGCGACCTTTCAGTTTACAGGATGGCACTCCAACCAACTGAGCGACACCAGCCAGAGATCAATGTCAGTATTTCTTGGAGCCCTCTGGGTATTTCAGGACTTCTTGGCGAATTTCCTCAGGCAACTAGAAGAACCAAGTGGGCAGAAGACTGGTGCTCTAACCCTGGGCAGCCAGAGTTACTTTGATTTTAACTAATTACCTTTTTTTCCCAATGCTTCAAAAATTTGCGTGTCGTCCTTGCTTGGGGGCCATACTTATCTTCTCTGTATTGCTCCAGTTTTAGTATATGTGCTGCCAAATTTGAGTACGGTGTATTTTTCTTTTTTAGGTTAAGCATAACAGGTTTATTCTTCAGGAGAAGGTTTACTGCTGAACAGATTTCAGATTTGATGTTGTTCCCTCAGTCCCCTGGTCACCTGATTTCAGTGGGGCCTAGTCAGGTGTTGTCTGTCATATACCCCTTTTATGGCCTTCGCAACAGTTGCTCAAAATTTGTCATTTTATTTTTTGCACGTATGTATGTGGAGACACACGTACCCACTCCCACACTCTTTATCTCCACAGCTTCTGTCTGTCTTGGAAAAGTTTTCGGCTTGTATCTTGACAAGATGTTTTCTCTGGAAGTAGAAACATAGGTCACCAGGTTGATGCTTTAAGCTTTTCAGTGACGCCATTCCAACTTCTGTCTTGTATAGTTTCAGAAGAAACACTTTTGTACATTTTTACTTTTGTGCCTCTGTGTGAAATCTGTCATTTTTTTGGACTGCTTTTAATATTTCCTTTTTCCATTGTCTTTCAGCAGTTGGATTTTTGGCCTGCCTTGGCATGTGTTTTTTGTTATGTGTGTTCTTGCTTGAGGTTTGATGAGACTTGGGGGTTTGTGGGTTTATAGTCTTTGTCAGTTTTTAAACAGTTTTGACCATTATTTCTTCAGGTAGTATTTTCTCTTCACTCATCCAAGAGTCCAGTTACACATATGTTAGACCATTTGATGTTCTGAAGGTCGGTGAGGCTTTGTGCCTTGTTTTTATTGTTTTCTCATCTGTGCTTGGCTGTGCAGAGTTACTTTGTCCACTTCTCCAGGGTTACGAATCTTTTCTTCTCTGGAATCTAATTGGTCATACCCAGTGAATTTATTGTTTTAGATGTAATGTATTTTATCTCTCAAAGTTCTATATTAGCCTGTCTTTATATATTCTGTTTACAAAAGGATACTTAAGCAAAGTCCACACAGTGAAAGGAGGGTGGAATGAACTCCCAGGACATCTGGCACACACCTCCACCATGTCTCCCAGTAGCATCATAGAGGAGGCAAAGTGGCTGCCCAGCAGAGAGCTGCACCACCCTGGGTGAAGGGTTATCAACCTGGGAGCTCGTTAGAGACTTGGTGCCCAGGATTTTTACTGGGGCTCATCACATGGGTACCTACTGCCTGGCCCACACCCAAATTCCAGACTCCCTGAAGCAGAGCAGATGTCCAGCATAAACTCTACTGTTTGCACAAGCAGTGTGTGGCATCATGTGAGCCACTCCTATCAGCTCCGTGAATGGTGAGCCTCCCTCCTGAAGTCTGAGTTCTTAGACGCCAGCCAAAGGCCAGTCTCGTAAGGAGGACATTCAAAGGACATCTCTCAGGTTGACCTATATATATTCTCTTCTATACAATGTGGGATTTTCTTCTTACTAACATAATACATATAATTGTTAATTTAGATCAGTGTAGATTCATGGATATTTATTTTATAGCTTGGCTTATATTCCAAAACCACATTGTTTATTTTGTTGCTCACATTGTTATAGTGCTGGCCCTGTAAGATGCTCTGTGTCGTCTTGGTGCCGTAGTCCCAGAGTCAGCCATTTCTCCAAGGAACCCTGCTTTCCTTCTCCAGTGAAGTTAAACGAATGTTAAAACAAATTCATTGTAGAGCATTTGGGAAATATACAGGATGAGCAAAAGTAGCTTTGCAGTTGTATGTGAGACAGTTTATTCTTGTATTATTTTCCATATGAAAACTGTAAGCCTACTTTGGCTCACTCCTGTAGAAAGAAGTAAGGACATTAAGAAGTAAATGTTAACTACTGATAATAATGATAGATGATTACATGAATGTTTTGTTGCATTGTTTAATGAGGTCTCAAAGCAAAATATGAAGTGAGTTTTGCAACCTTTTTTTTATTTCATGTGTGGTGTTTTTTTCTTTTCTTTTATTTTTAAATGTATTTTATTAATTATGCCATTACAGTTGTTCTGTTTTCCCCCTTCATTCCCCTCCACCCTGCACACCCCTCCTCCACCACTCCTCCCTTTAGTTTATCAAGTTCTTTAGTGTCTCAAGTTCTTTAGATTCTATATTTCCCATACTATTCTTGCCCTCCCCCCGTATCTATTTTCTACCTACCATCTGTGCTACTTATTTTCTGTACCTTCTCCCCCCTTCTGCTCCTCCCACTCCCCTGTTGCTAACCCTCCATGTGATCTTCATTTCTATGGTTCTGCTCCTGATCTAGCTGTCCTCTTAGTTTGCTTTTGTTTTAGGTGTGGTTCTTAATAACTGAGTTTGCTGTTCATCTTTTTTTCCTTTCACTGTTCATCTTTTATATCTTCTTTTTCTTAGATAAGTCCCTTTAACATTTCATATAATAAGGGCTTGGTGATGATGAACTCCTTGAATTTGATCTTATCTGAGAAGCACCTTATCTGTCCTTCCATTCTAAATGAAAGCTTTGCTGGATAGAACAATCTTGGTTGTAGGTCTTTGGATTTCATGACTTGGAATACTTCTTTCCAGCCCCTTCTTGCCTGGAAGGTCTCTTTTGAGAAATCTGCTGACAGTCTGATGGGAAGTCCTTTGTAGGTGACTGTCCCCTTAGCTCTTGCTGCTTCTAGGATTCTCTCCTTCATTTTAATCTTGGCTAATGTAATGATGATGTGCCTTGGTGTGTTCCTTCTTGGGTCCAAGTTCTTTGGGACTCTCTGAGCTTCCTGGATTTCCTGGAAGTCTATTTTTTCTTCCAGATTGGGGAAGTTCTCCTTAATTATTTGTTCAAATAAGTTTTCCACTGGTAGCTGTTCCTCTTCCCCTTCTGGTACCCCTATAATTCGGATGTGGGAACGTTTAGAGATGTCCTGAAGGTTCCTAAGCTTCTCCTCATTTTTTTGAATTCTTGTTTCTTCATCCTTTCTGTTTGGTCATTTTTTTCCTCTTTCTGGTATGCTCCTTTGATTTGAGTCCCAGTTTCCTTTCCATTACTGTTGGTTTCCTGTGCATTTCCATTCATTTCAATTAGTTTAGCCTTCATATGTTCCTCTAATTTGTGACTGAAATCAACCAGTTCTGTGAGCATCCTGATCACCAGTGTTTTGAACTGTGCATCTGAAAGTTAGGCTATTTCTTGGTCACTTAGATTTATTGGCTCTGGGGCTCTGAGTTGTTCTTGAGCCATGTTTGATCTGTTTGTGCCTGTTAGGTATGAGAAGTGGAGCCTTAGGTGTTCACCAGGGTGGGGCCACCCAGGTGACTGGGCTGTAATGCTGTATGTGGGGGTGGGGTCAGAGAGGGACAATGGTGGTTCCCTCTGCTGCTTCCTGCTGCTGGGGCCTGTGCGGTCTGTCTCACTACTCACTCCTTCAGTGGTTTATCTGTGTGCCAATGTGTGACTGCGATCAGCCCTCAGTGGGTCCACCACCTTGTGCCCTCAGTGGGTCCGCCCACTTCTCCACACCTGGGATCCGCCCACGGCTGCCTGCGCACCCAGGTAGGTCAGGTGGATCTTTCCTGTCCAACCCTGCTCTGCTGCTGGCTCTGCCCCTCTTACCGGTTTGGCTGAAGGGTTCATTGTTGTCAGACTTCCGTGTAGTTCAATTTTCTGTCGTTTGGCTGTGTTTTTGTTGCTAAAACTTTGTTGTTTTTAAACTGAGTTGTCTGAGAAGGCGCAGTGCTTCCACCTACGCCTCCATCTTGGCAGAAGTCCTCATGTGTGGTGTTAATGACTCACCTCACCTGTGGACATCTTTCCTTCCATCCCTAGAACCTTTCAGCTCTGTTCTGACCCCCAGAAAAGGCCAGGACGTGCTGAAAAGGCTGAAATCTGTAGGGACTGTTGAAGCTTCCAGGATTGATAGGATATTTGACATTTTGCGTGAAAAAAAACTTGCTACGTTTTTTTTTCCCCCTTATTATGGCTGTTATTGTTTATACCAGTTTAATAACTTTTTTGATAATAATAATATTTATATTTGAACTCTGCTTAGGGATGTTAATAATCAAAGGTTTCTTTGGGTTGGTGGAACATTAAATTCCAGTGAATTGTATCTTTTGATATTTTTTGTTAAATCTAAACTATTGTATATCAAGGAACATTTTGTTCAGATCCTATCTAAAGTGCAATATTTTTTAAGTATTTACTGGGAATTTTTTCTGGTATACATTTTTTTTTTAGTGTGTGTATTAGACTATATACCTCTGCTTGTACTTAGAAATCTAAATTGGGTGATGAATTCCATGGATTCTTAGTATGCTAGTGAAAAGGCATATAATTAAATGGAAAGTGATGAAAAGAAAGAGGGAAGCCCACTTTCTAACTCCTTGAGGGTGAGAGAACTGCCACAGCTGTGTTTGATCCTCAGGGCCTCACAGTATCTGGCCTGTGCCAGGAGGACCTCCACATAGGCCAATGACATTGACATTGAGGTTTCTTTAAAATATTCTAAACCTGGTGGGCTGGGGTGGGAGTAAAAGACAGAAAACTGTACTTGAACAACAATTAAAAGATATTCTTAACCTTGTTTTAAAAGCCTTATTTATTCTTTAATAAATAATAATCTAAAAGGTGGTGAGGAGTATAGTTGAAAGTAATGATCTAAAATCGATTTTCTGCTTTGCCAAAGATGTAGCATTGAACAATGATTTCTGTGGCTCTCTTTTTGTGGTAATGAGACCAAAATATGCAGGCATGATACAACCTAGAGCATTTTGAATTTATAGAATAAAATAGAAGACTGACTCTGATGTTTTTACTGTTCTTTTGCAAGAATAAGCTCTAGGCTATGTGTTCCTGTTATTGATTGATAGGTTAAGGATAGAGAACTCACTCGGAGAATAATAGGAATATTAGTACTTGCGTAGTTAAAAAATATGACTCATGCTTGAGAGATTGAGAAAGCATTCAAAATACAGTGGACCTCTGCCCTGGTCCTCTGACGGAGGATTGTTGGGTGCATATGTAGTTCTTCTGGTTAATGACAGTGAGTTGGATGATAAAAGTTTAGTAAGGGTTACAAAGTAAATACTTCTTCATTAACCTTTGT